GGTAAGAAAAAAAGGAGGGAGGGAAAGAAAGAAGAAATGAAACAAGCCAAATTATCATCCAAGTTACTTATAAAGATTACTTTATAAGCATTTGATTATATCTGTTAAGTCTTCGACAGTGGGGAATAAGAATCACAAACTAACTTTGAATTTTTTTTAGTTGATTTGTTAATGGTAGTGGTATGGGCAATTGCAAGTAATCCTGAAACCATGTTAGATTCATTAGTGGATTGAGCAAATGAGTAACTGTGACAACACTGGGAGTAAGGATCCCAGCACAGCAGAAGGAACATGGAAACACAGAATGCAAGAAGTCAAGACACAGTGATGTAGATATGGAGGTACCACTGAGCTCATATTTTCTAAAATAGGTATATATGCATGTTTATATGCACTTTTTTTTTTTTTTTTTTTTTTTGTAGATTGGCATCTATTGTTTGGACAATTTGGGTTTTCTTAAAGGAGTAAAAATGTGGAGTTAGTGTCTAAGGTCACATGAGTGAGATGTGAATACTTGTTGCCAGGGACAAGGACATGTGAAAACCACACGGGAATATTCTTTAGGTCAGTGTGTGTATATTTACATATATATGCAGGCATATGCATATATACTTGAATATATTTCCTATCTTGGCTTGCTAAAAGTCAGGAGAAAAAAAAAATATTCTTCAGTAGCATGGAGCACACCAATCACCTAGATTTTGGTTTATAACATCATTTGTGACTAAGTGAAGACTAAAGGACTGATTCCAGAGCTGGAGTATGGTAGGTACAAGGTGTGTCTGAAATATCCTGTCACGGCAGAAAGTAAGGAAGTGCTAAAAACAAAAACAAAATTTAAAAAAACCCTGAAAATGTTGGGGCAGGGCATGTCATAATTTAACAAAGACTAACTTTATGGGACTCACACTGGCCCAAACCGATATAATCTTAGCACCAAAATAAGTAGTTATAAACTCTTTGAAAAACAGAAACTTGTGGGTCCATACCAATAAGGAAGAAATGAAGGAAAGACAGAAGGGAAGGAAAGGAGAGAGAAAGGGAAAGGAAAACAAAAGAAAAAAAAAAAAGGAAAACAAAACGGAAATAAGTGCCGACTGTAAATGTGGCACAAGCCCTGGAGGTGGAAAATAATCATTTTGTAACTACTGCAGTAAAGACTGGATCAGGAATACATCTCCAATGGATGCTAACTCTAGGGTGAACTTCTGATGAGTACAGGATATTTCCACGGTCTTGATTTCTCCCCGTGGACAGTTTATTGGCACCGAGTAAGAACACATACTCTTCATGCAGTGGAGAAACTGGACAATGTGTTGACTAAGGGGCCAGGGACATCGTGTGCTCTCTGATGGGATACTGGAAAGAGGCCACCTCACCTATGCAGTATTTCACCCGAAAATGCAAAATTTGACTTTAATCATGAAAAAACATCAAACACAGAATGAGTGACTTTACAGTGATAAAGGGTGGGAGGATTATGTATTTCAAAAATGTGTTGTCATGAAAGAAAAAAAAAAAAAGTCGATGGAAATGTTTAGATGAAAGAAGGCTAAAGGGACCTGAGAACTAGATGCCATGTCTGACCCCAGGCTGCACACTGTGCTGGAGGGAAAATGCTATAAAAGACAACATTGGGTCAACAGACTAAATTGAATATGAATGAGAGAAAAGATAAAATATATTGCAACTGAGCAACAGTTACTGAAGTTGGTAACTCTTTGTTATGTAAGGGGATATTATTTTTAGAAAATGCAAACTGAAGTAGCAGTTTGTATTTAATTGTTGGTTAACTGGTTATGAAAACAAAAACAAAAACAAAAACAAACAAAAACAGAAAAAATAAAAAGGAGAGGGAGCTAGCCAGTGAGAGAAAATGTCAAAGGAAAAGGGATACGATGTTCACAATAGTAAGGATACATCAGTGTTCTTTGTACTGTTTTTATCTTTTTAAATTTTTAATTAATTTTTAAAAGATTTTATTATTTATTTAATTGAGAACGAGAGAGAGAGAGAGAGAGAGAGAGAACCCATGAGCAGGGGGGAGGAGCAGAAAAGGACAAGCACTGAGCATGGAGCCTGATATGGAGCTTGATCCCACGACCGCTCATGACCTGAACTGAAACCTAGAGTCAGTTGCTTGATGGACTGAGCCATCCAGGTGCCCCAGCACTGTATTTATTTTTGAATGTCTCTCGGTTTTTTTTTTTTTTTTTGTAAATTTTTTTAAAAAGATTTATTCATGATGGGGAGAGAGAGAGAGAGAGGCAGAGACACAGGCAGAGGGAGAAGCAGGCTCCATGCAGGGAGCCTGATGTGGGACTTGATCCTGGGTCTCCAGGATCATACCCCAGGCCAAAGGCAGCGCCAAACCGCTGGGCCATCAGAACTGCCCCCCCCCACCCTTTTTTTTTGTGTGTGTAAATTTGAAATTATTTCTAAATAAAATCTAACAAAATGTGTTACACCATACTTTTTTTTTTTTTTATCCTCTCTTCATTCACTATAGTTCAGGTCTTATGACTTTACATCCTCAAGCATCTAGTACACTGCCACAGGATTCATTCTGCTCAAAAAAATAATCTCTCAGTTTACTCTCAAGCTTTCAATGGCCTGAAGGTCAATGAAAAATAAACACCTTAGTTGAGAGCACTGACCCATTTATTTGCCCCAAAAGGCCTTTCTAGCCCTGTTAACTACCATATGGATGCATAAAGCAAAACAAATCATCTCTATCTACTGAACATCAGTCTGTGTAGCCTCACCAGAGCCATCCACCCTGTCTGGAATGCTCCCCCACACACTTTTATCACCTGCATTACCCTCTCTTTAAAGCCTAATTCAAATATGATCTATTGCTCTCAGCTATCCTTGAAACCAAGGTCCTCAACCTCTTTTCTGAACTCCCAAAACAGGAATTGCTTATGTCAACCATTCAGTCCATCACCTATTACACTAGACCATCAGTTATTGTTTGAATTAGAAGTGTGTGTATATCCTCATGACATGATGTTATGTCTGGGAAAATACTTGTCTTCGAATCATACACTTGTTAGGATATTAATGAATACAAACAATGAGTCAAAGCCCATGAGTCAAAAAACAAATCAGCAACAACAATATAAAGAAGCCTAGATTCTCTTCTAAGTCCTAGTAACAATGGCATCTCAAAGAAACAAAAGTCACTTGATCCCTTTGAACCTCAGTTTCCTCATCTATAAAATGAGGATGCAGGTGTTCTGTCCACTTCATTGGACTGAGCTTTCAGACACACTTAGGGACTGACAAATGTTCCCCTGTGGTTTTCGCCTGCCCTTGTCCCCAGGAGCTACATATTTACAATCTCTTTTGCACATGACCTTAAACACGAAGTTCTCTCTTCTACTCCTTTTGATAAAGCACAAATTGTCCAAACAATGGATATTAATCTACAAAAAAGATTCACTCCTCTTCTAAGAATGATTCTTGACCAAAACTAGCTGAACTTCAGTTGACATCCCTGCCAAAGCCCTGCAAAAATTCTGTATCCCTTCCCTAAGTTCACACAGTTCCTTTAGAGCCTTCTTGTGTTTGGCAATTTTGTTTTTTTTTTTAATTTTTATTTATTATTTATGATAGTCACACACAGAGAGAGAGAGAGAGGCAGAGACACAGGCAGAGGGAGAAGCAGGCTCCATGCACCGGGAGCCTGACGTGGGATTCGATCCCGGGTCTCCAGGATCACGCCCTGGGCCAAAGACAGGCGCCAAACCGCTGCACCACCCAGGGATCCCTGTTTGGCAATTTTGAATGAGGGCTTATGCTAACAGCTTTCTGGTTGATTTTCTTCCTCAGAGAACTAAAGGATACAACTCAGTAGCAGTGTCTATATGCTAATCCATGAACCAGCTACATGAGAGTCCCCTCTAAAGAGATTTTACAGAAACAAACAAAACCCCCCAAACCTAAAACAAAACAACAAAATGAAAAAGAAAAAAAAAATACTGGGCTCTTGCTAGACTTTTGGGATGTTGGATCAGGAACTGGTTCTTTTAAAGCTCTTCAGGTAATTTTGAAATAAAGTTGCACCCACATGTAGAAAAAAGTTTGGGAAAGCCATAAAGCACTATTAGAATGTAACTTAGTAAAGAGAGCGTTAAGTTGGTAGTTTGCTTTATTTGAACTCAGAAATAATTCTCTCAAAAGTTAAAATCCCACACATGCTATTTCCATATTGATAGAATCAATGATCTCTGATCATAGGAACCCCTCAGGACTGAATGTAGGACACACTTCTCCGCTGCACAAGGACTGTCTTGTGCCTTATACTAAAATAATTAAGAATTTTAGAGATGTTCTCTTAAAAAGAAAAAGAGTTAATATCCCAGCGGGTCATGTACTTGGAGTTATTTTCAGCAGAGAGAACAAAGGTGCACCAATTCCTCTTTCATTTGGTTTCCTTAAGTCTCTGGGGTGGATTTTACATGGCTCACCTCAGTTAGGAATCTACATATCAGGGATTGAACTTGACATCCTTAATATTAGAGTTTAACCAACTGAGGCAAATGGCTAGAAATGATCTATTACAGCTTATAAAAGTGGTTCACCCAACAGAATGCCAGCATATCAATTTACCAAGATACTAAAAAGTATAACTTGCTGCTGTTTATGGCCAAAAATATATTAAAAAAACAAAGAAATTGAAGAGAAATTGGCATGTAAACAATGACTTCAATATTTTAGGAGACCCTAAGATATCCATCAAGCCACAGCACTGAATTATATAACATCTTCTTGAATTATTGAACAGGAAAGAACATGACGTGAAAATATTCCTCATTTGAGAGAAAAAACATTGAACATACTGCTTATTAAATGGCATTGTTGCTGGAAAAATTGGAGCGGAAAATGAACTGTGTATAACAGCTTCAAGTTGTTTGGCTGGTTTCCAGTTACCTGTAAGAAATGGAAAAGGCTAAAGCTTCAGCAAAAGAAAAGGCAATGGAAACAGGGGGATTTACCTGTCATGGCCTGTTGGTCATCCACGGTTAACTTTAAACTTTTTCCTCGACGGACCACACGCACTGTGTGCCATTCGTTATCATTGAGGTTATAGCCAGCAAAAAGGGTCTCGGGACCTTTGCCTGTAGAATATGCCAAACAGTCATTATGGACACTCAGAATCAGTCAAGCAAATGAACCTCACAGAGAGTGAGAGAAAGAGACAAAGTAAGGGGTGGGGGAGCACGGGAGAAGGAGGAGAGACAAGAGAGAAATGAGAGAGAGGTGAGAGAGAGAGAGGAGGAAGAGACTGGCTGGATCAATTTTCAAGCCCATTAGAGTCAGAGCAAGCAAGGAAAATGACAAGTTAACAGACATTCAGGTGTGACACTTTAAGAAGAACCTTTAACATTATGCATTGATCAAAGACATGTGAATGAACCTTGTTGTCATAAATAGGCACAGTCAATATAGCATTGGGAAGCCTCCCAAATTTACACATACTTGGTTGTTGTTGTTATTTTTCGTAATGAATTCTCTGATATTTGCAGTTCTGGCTTTCTTACTAATGAAGCAGATAGCAGTGCTGTAGCTTCTGACTTTGGGGAGAGAGCTGACCATAAGTAATTAGCTAAGCATCTTCAGCTGGAGCAACTGGCTGATTAGAGTCTGGTGAGGAGACTGTGCTGAGTACTGCACTGTGTGATAGCTGTTCTTCACTGTTACCCCATGTATCTCCAACGTTCACCAAATTCTTAAATTTATGGAATGTTCCATCTAAAAACTAAGTCTAGTGGAGTGAGTTTAGGTAAAAGTATGGACTCTTAGAAAATGAATAGAGAGAGAGAGAGAGAGAGAGGTCACCGCCAATAAAGGTCCATGTGTTGGGTGAGAAGGGAAAAAGAAAAGTGAGATTGAACAGCTCTAGAGGGCAAGGATTTCCAACTGAGGACAATAAGAAAAAAGGCAAGACATGTAGCCACCTGGGAAAGTAACTGCCAGTGAATCTATGTAAATCCATGTACATTGGCTAAGGACAGACAAATTATTTCAGAAAGTTGTTTTGTGGAAATCAATGAAATGACACATTAGAAAAATATCCCTCCTCTTCTACTTAAAAATAAAGCAAGGAAAAGAAAAGAAAAAAAAAAACCTTAATATAACTTGAAACTTTTTAATTAAAAAAAAAAATACTTCCACTCATTGGACACTATGATTTACTGAGAAAAAATCATGGAAAGTTTTTAAAGATATATTACTTGGTGATGGATTTTTCCCCCTCTTTTGTAAGTACTGAAATGTGTCCGTATGCTAAAATAATGAAAGACATGGCATCATTGAGTTTCATGACTTTCAACTGATTGAGAGCGTCAAGGTTGGGTTCACAATTTCTTCAACCAAATTCTACCAGCAAAACCAATCAATGTCCAAGAATCATAGGAGGACACAGAAAAGTCCAAGAAAAAGGAGAAAAAGAAAAGGAAAAAAAAAAGAGAATAAAGAAGGAAGGAAAGAAAAAAGAGAAACAGTAATAGAACCAATTAGAAGAACCTCCGTAGTCCATCCAACAACAGATCGGTGTTTGCATTTGGTACTGCTGGCTATCCTGATTTCTCTCTTAGGATGTCAAGTTCTAGCTTCCTTAGTTGGGGTTTCTTTGGGGCTGAAAATTAACCAGTGAGATAAGTTAAATGTTGCAGTAGAGACTGCTTCATGTCTTTAAAGGAAACCATCATTAAGATTAGAAACGATCTCTTTTTGTTTCTTTAGAGAAGTTAAATTACACATCTGGATACATGAATAAGAACGAGTCTAGACAGAACAGTTTTGAGAGACTGATCACTAAATAACTAGAGGAAGCCTCTTAGTTCAGCAATGGCAAAATAAAATAAAATAAAATAAAAAGCTTTGAGACTAAATGTTGAAAGTAAGTTCCACGATCAAAGGAACTCTTTCTAGTTTCAACAGTGAAGAAAGAAGAGCGTAATAACTCTGCAGAATCTTAGCATCCTACTGGCAGCAAGGGTCATTCTCAGTTTTGATCTTTGAAAAGCGAATATATCATGTTAAAGCTATTTTTATAGGGAAGACTTTTTTCTCTTAGAAATGTGTGCTTTTGAAGCTGCTTCACTCCTGTTCTCTTAATTTTAAAAGTGTTTTGTCAAGAAAAAGCAGCTTAGGGGTGATATCATCATTACACCCCATTCTGGGCTTGATTTTGCTCTCAAGTCATAATGCTTAATCTATGAAACAACTATTTCTATAACAACAGGCACAAAATCCAATTAAAAATAACCCTTTGGTTCATAAAAATCTCTGTGGGCCAACTTCAAGCTCCTTTCTTGCATTATTAAAAATGTGAAGAGATTGATTTTGGAAGACAAGGTTTTAAAAAATGCACTTAATATTCTCAGTTCAAAAGAGTGCTATCTACGCAACTTGAAGAGTAGCGGAGAGTGCACTGGACAGGGAGTCAAGAACTGTGGTTGCCAGTCCTTGATTTGCCACTAAGAAAGAAGTTGGAGCTGGTAAATGCTTATTAGGTGACAGGTATTTTATCTGTTAACTTATTTCATCTTTACATTGTTATCATTTTGCAGATGTGGAACTGAAGACCTAGAGAGCTAAAACTTCTTGCCCCAAGGTCACACAGCTAAAATGTGATAGAAAAGTGTTTCACTCTAGTTCCAAGGGACTCAAAGCCTGCATGCGTTCCCCTGCATTATTAGCCTACCTCCAAGCTATATGACCTTTGGCTAGAAACTTAACTTTTCAGTTGCCCTCCATCTAAATGAAGGGGGTGGGAAGGCTGTTCTTTGTTATGACTTCCGGCTTGCTCTACAGAATGATCACAATATTAGGAAACCTTACACACCCTCTGGATAAGTCATCCTAGAAGCAAATCTCTAAACACACCATACCTAATGGCATGATACATAAAGCTCATCTTTTGGGACTGAATCCACATAATCAGCAATTTTTTAAAAGATTTTATTTAGTTATTTGAGAGAGACAGACAGTGAGAGCATGAGCAGCAGAGGGAGAGGGAGAAGCAGGCTCCCCACCAAGCAGGGAGAAAAAAGTGGGGCTTGATCCCAGTACTCTGGGATCATGACTTGAGCTGAAGGCAAACACTTAACCAGCTGAACCACCCAGGTGCCCCCACAATCAGCAATTTGCTGTAACATTCAGCTTCTGGTGGTCTCGTAACCCTACTTAAGAAAGGGGGGAGATGGTATAGATGATCTTCACAATGCCTTAGAGATCTTACATTTTCATGTTTAAAACATAATGAATTGGTAAGGAAAGATGGCTTAACTGTTCTAATTTTGAGTGAGTCATTTATCCTCTTGTAAAAATTTTAATGGCAAAACTATAATCACCACCGCCGTTGATGACCTGAATTCCTTTTGAAATTTTCTCTTCTTTTGGGAAATGAAAGCACTGACCATAACTTCTTGCTCCCAGCATTAATGTGAGTGTGATGGACTGAATGTTCATTTGTCGAAGCCCTAATCTCTGATGTGATGGTGTTAGGATTTGGAATCTTTGAGAGGTAATTAGGCTTAGATGAGGTCGAGAGGACAGAGCCCTATGAAAGGATTGGTTATCTCCTAAAAAGAGACATCAGAGCTCTTTCTCTCCATCATGAAAGGACACAGAAAGAAGGTGGCCATTTGCAAGCCAGGAGGGGAGCTCTCTCCAACAACCAAACCTGCCAGTGATTTTGGACTTCGCACAGCCAGAACTGTGAAAAATAAATGTTTGCCTTCAAGTCACACAGTCCATGGCATTTGTTATAGGAATCCTAGCAGATTTAGTAAGCAATATTCTAAAGATTTCAAAGAAAATCAAGAGCATCAAGAGTTTTTATTTTAAAGATAATCATTCCTTATGTTTTGTAGGGAGTTAAAATTTGTAACTTTCTTATACTTGATTCTTACTGTAATCTATTAAGTCATAGAGGTTCTTTTTTTCTACATTTTAGTTAGGAAAGAAGATTTTGAAAGATTGAGTGTTTTAAGACGTAGGGGCAGTAAGTAGTGGAATTAAGACTGAGATCTTGAGATCTTCCAAGTCCCTTTCAGTGTCCTTTCCACAGCTCTCAAAATGATCTGCAGACAGTAAAAGAAAGGTGCAATGTGTATGAATGCCAACAACTAATATTTAACTAGACTGGATCAAACGTCAACTCTACAGGATAATGTTATGGTAAAGAATTTTAGGACTAGAAGGGATGTGGGAGGTAGAGAGGCTCACAGAGCCATCTACAAACAAACTACCTAAGGTTAGAAGCAATTAGATGATCTTCTTCTGTTTAAATGAAGAGTCCAGGTCCCCAGACTGGGAGTTAGTGAACTTTCTTTAAATTATTCTGACATTATATTACGCTGAACTAGACTGAACTTCTTAAAGAGCACCAGGATCTGACTCTACAATTTGGTCCATGACTATGATTTGTTCTACATCTAAGGTGAAAGTCAAGCAAGAATACATACTACTTCTTTTCAATGGAATTTAAACTATGGTACAAGAGTTTTCCATTTTTGGTGAATACTAGGTGGTAATAGACACTAGGTTTTCTGGTGACTCTGTAGCTAAAATTCATTAATTTACATTCATTTAAATAATTTAAAGTCATTCATTACTGATGGAAGTAGACACAATAAACTTTTTTTTTTCTCTAGTTTTCCTCAATCTAGTTCAATTTAGTTTTCCTTCTACAACCTACCCATGTAAAAAGTTCAAGTGTCCTTACAATTTTAGTCCTAAGGGTTGAAGATAACCCCAACTTGAGGCACCGGACTGAGAGGAATGGGGGTGGGTGGGAGTGAGGGGTACAGTCAGTAGTAAGTCAGACAAATCCTTCTTTAAAATCTACTACTATATAGTCTTGATTTAACCACTAAGATACATACTTGATAAAAGATGATAGCTGTTTTGGACCAGATTAATAATCACATTTGCTAATTACTTTTCACCTTCATTTTCACTATGAGGAGATGGTGGAGAAAATTGGATTTTTTCCCTACGTTTGTCATCAACTAATTATGTCAGCTTGATTAAGTCATTTATCTTTTCTGTTCCTCATATTTCATCTGTAAAATGAGGATACTTGGTAAGAACATATAAAAAATACTCT